AAACTCTTTCTCAACTTTTCCGTCAGAATTGAGGAAACGGTGTTTGACTTTGAGAAGTCTATCGGCTTTATTGTCATCTTTGGTTAAGCTGTTAGTGTCGGGCGAATGATTGCCATCATTGAAGATGAATATGGGATAGTCTGCGGTCTGATTGGGAGGAATGAGATGTTCTTTCATTTCATGGACGAACTCAAAGAAATCCGATTGTGTTCTGCAGTAGAAGGCGAGGGCACAGCTCGGGTCCATACAGGAGATAGCAGTCTTGCGGGGGATATCACAATGAAATGAATCCAATGGAAAGTTGGTTTGTCTCACATCGACAGAGGGCTGACAGTAATGGGGATCGATATAAACCAACTTTTCCTCTTGGAATCCAATGAAATAAAGCGAATGTTTAGGTTTTCCGCCAATAATTCCCAAACAGTTATTGTGTGAAAGTATTTGTTTGACGCACGGGATGTATATGGGGTTCAGTCGATCGGAACCCAATCTTACGGGAACTATGATTATAAGTCCGCGCCATTTGGTTGATGTCGAGTCACTTTTCAATGAGTTGTTGCCACTGTTGGGTAGACTGAAGGGTAGAGAGCGGGCACCACAACTGGTATATGAGGTATCAGTTAAGTTAAACGTTGAGCTCATTTTACCACAACTCAAGAGGGATGGCTTTCTACTCTTAGGCGCCGTATCCGTTGAGCTCTCACAACAGAGATCTTCGTTCGCAATCACACCGACCTCTATGTCGGAGTCATTTTGTGATGAAAAGCTGTACTTTCTTTTAATGTCTTCATTGGTTTTAAAGGTTTTCTTTTTGTTTAAATTCACAGTTTCGCGACTTATGGTTGAGTTAGCAGTGCATAGATTTATGACATCTTTAATATACACTGAATGAAGACAAAATTTAAATATTAATAAATTTCAGTTCTTAATCATTAGACTCTAATGACATACCCGTGCAGTCCTGAGCCACATAACAGCATATATTACTCAAAATAGGATTAGTTTCGGCGGCTTTACTTAAAGCTGTCCTTTAGTTGAAAAGCGATCAAATAAATGAGAAATGAATTAAACCTCAAAATTATCAACAAATTGCAGGAATGGCTCACTTAAGTAGGTGTGCGACAGATGCGGGTCCGTACCAATCACCGGCTCTTTTGCCCATTTGTTCGCCAAATCGGACCAATTGGTGGACAGAGAAAGGACTGCAACTGGGATTGGGATCGTCGGCAAACCACTTGACAATCATTCTGTGAATCATATCCTCTTTGTCTGACTGCGAGCCCTTCCACCGCCAGTGGCGGCCGAGATAGTGAGTGAGCAATCCCTGCGCCAAAACCATTTGTCCGGACCTCAACATACATCCCCAACCCGTGTCTGTCGTCAGACTAGAGTTGTCTAACTTCGGGAACTGTCGCCGATATGTGAACCAAATTCGCGAGTAAAAGTCATGTCTAAACATATCGATCGCCGAACTCTTGGACTGATTGTCATCACGACTGCTGTTATTGTCCGTCAACTTCTTGTGGTAAAACTGTCCCAAAAGACAAACCGGTGACTCGTAACTGAAACGAGTCTTGAGTTTTGTGGCGAAACCTAAGAGGCAAACGATGACAACATTAAGTTCATCATAAGAGGTTCACAATGGGTTCAGTGATGGTAATCAAGAAGTGGTACCGAATTTAACGTTATTCCAGAGCGAGAGGAACATTGTCTTCATTTTGTCCGGACTCTGACTCTCGTCTTCCTCGTCCTCATCGTCTGAATGACCGGACACTGACTTATTGCCATCAATTGAATGGTTTGAAAATTGTGGTAAACTTTGAGATCTCACTGAATCCGTGGATCTGTTTGACAACGAACTCAAACTCAACCGCTGTTTGGATTCAATGTTTGACAGCTTTTTGCAATTCATTTGTATTTATATTAATCGTTAATAAATGCACTGAAAGTCAATTGAGATGTGATTTATGAATACAAATCCAATTGCCGTTCAAATGAGTGACACTTTCAATGAAAACATTGAAAACAAACTTCAAGTCATTTGTTGTCAAAAGAGCCCTAAATTAGCATAAATTGAGGGAAAATATATGAAATGAGTTGTGAATGCTTTCCATTCATTCATTCATACATTTCATGTCATTTTCAGTGAAACTTTTATCATAAACTCATTTAATTTCATTATTTAATTCATTTTCTCATTTGACTTATTTTAGTCATCATTTAATTTTATTCATAAACCAATTATTAACGCAAAGAGTGATTATTAATTTAACTTTTACCATAAATTATAAATAAAATTTTTATTTCAAATTGTTAAATTTAATTTCTAGACAAAGTATATTTGAATATACAGTAAAAATGTATTTAAATATATGTAAAAATAGTTAATACTAATGAATATTAACTTAATAGTCTTCCGTATGGTATAATTCAGTCAACAGTCTGTAGACATAAGACGGAGAGTTTCCACCGCTTTATAAGAGTTGAGAAAAGTTTTAATCAACGATTGAATGCATGAAGAGTTTGTAAGAAGTACTCACATATTGGACACGAAAACAGTGACCAATTCTGGCGGAACGTAATCGAAGACAGGGTTAACGACGTGACACTCTGTGGCCATATCTGACTCTTCATATGACATCACTTGTTGTGGAGACGAGAACTTATTGAACGCCAACTGATCGTGACTTACGAGGTATTGAGGCGTCAACTTAAACATACCGGTGCACACTATCAACTGAATCAGTTTTGCCATCAGTTTGCGATCGATTAGTTGCAAAATGACTGTATATTTACCGGAACTGAATAATGTTTGGCAGCCAATGCTAAAGTATAGGCGCCGCTCACGGCTTTCAAACTGGTTGTGGGAAACAACATATGATTAGAATAGATATCAATTGATTGCCTGTGAAGACAGCAGACCCTCCATTAGCCATCACAGAATGAGTTCCAATGATAACTTTGCTAACTCTGGACATAATGGCAAAAATGGCCGAATCGGGGATTATTGTCGTATTGATCTTCTCATTGGACAGACTGGCGGCCAATTCGTGACCCTTTATAGTGAAGACAAACTGTGAGATTGAGCGACATATCATTTGCAGAGACAATGGATTAGACAATGGATTACATTATAAAACGGCGCGCATTCGGCGATCACCACTTGGAAGCGTCGCTTCTTTTTGGCCGCGTATTTCAGAAAGGCTTCGACGGTCTTAGACTTGCCGCACGTCATAATCACTTCGTCCGGATAGATGTGTTCGAGTGACTGCTCAGCGATATTCAAACCACTTGTTTCCAACTCAGACATCAATTCACTGATTGAGTCATTTATGGCTTCTTTTAAATTATCATATTTTATATCATAAGTCGGAGTATTGTCCTCATCGGTGGTCATCATCTTCTGCAGCGACTCTTCGATGTCCCCCTCGTTGTGGACGCCCTTTGCGTTCAAGTATTCGTCTCTTATTATCTTCAGAACTCTTTTAAACATATTTCCGGTCACTGTTTCCGTGGGTTCAGCGGTAATCACCTCTTCGGCGATCTTCTTCAACTGACTGATAAGTTCGCTGTCATTCATTCAAATCATTAGAGGATTCAACCACTTTTTAAATCAAACAAATGAGCGGAAGTGCTCTCATGTGCATCAATACCTGGCATTAGTCCACTGGAACTGATCGATAACTTCTTGGATAATGACAACAGTCTTCTTCGCCGATTCATACGAGCCATTGGTTTGCCTATCAATTGATTGCAATTCGTAAGACTTTTATGTGAAACCAAAACCAATTGAAATCAAACCCGAGTTTTAGGTCTTTAACCAATTGATTAATCTTGTGGTGAACGGGAAGATCACTGATTTGATCCATTAGTTCACACTTCAGTCAAACTGTAAACGCGAGTGAATATTGAGGTAAATATAGTCCACAAACAACGTAACCCTTAACCCCCTTACAGTTGGAAAGTTATTTTCTTTACAATTGACAGCACTTTATGCCCTAATCCCGGGCCCCAAACAATTGACCATCACTTTGACAATCACTCAAATGAAATGTGTTTTCAAGCAGATTCAAAGTTTCGATGAACCTATGAGCTGTATGGTATGGTTGTGTAACTTACCCTGTACCAAATAATGACATCGTAACTAAAATCAAAATCTGATGAAATATTGGCTGAAATGATGATCACTTTACTCAAGCAAAGTAACAGTACTTTCTTACATCAACTTTTCTATCAACTTCAGTATGTTTACAATAATTACCGATTTGTGACAAAAACACTGTTTGTGGCACATTTTTATGGTCAACATTGTATCACAGGGAATATGGAGGCAAATGAGTGAGAAATGAGTCATTTATTAAATTTATTTCATTTAAATTAATTGTAAAAGCATTTCACAGTTTGTCAAATGATTTGAAAGGAATAAGAATATAATGAATGAAATAATTAAGTGATTAGTCGTCGGGAGTGACAGACTTTCGGCGAGACTTCTCATGACTTGAACGATGAGATACTTTCTCTTCGTGGTTAGAGTCGTATCCCTTCTCCTCTTCCTCTTCGATCTCTTTATCATAATCTCGTCGAACACTTGCCTTCAATTCTTTAGGTGTTCTATCTCTGGGTTCAGAGCTGTCCTCCATTTTCCTCTTTTTCTTCTCCTTTCGGTCTCGACTTCTATCCCTCTGTCGATCTCTATCCCTATCTCTGTCCCGATCCCTATCCTTATCCTTATCCTTATCCTTATCCTTATCCTTATCCTTATCCTTATCGCGGTCTCTATCCCTCTCTTTATCCCTTTTCTTTTTGTGACTCTTTGTTGGAGTTTTCGATTTTTCTTTGCGATCGGCTTTTCTGTCTTTACTTCTGGATCTCCTTTTGGGAGATCGCGAGCGCCGGGAACTGTACTTTCGGGGCGGACTCACAGACGGGGATTTCGGAGATTTTGAAATCTCTCTCGAATGCGAGCGATTCGATCGGGACTTGTCCTCAACATCCGGAGTCTCTACGACTTCGGTCTTAATAACAATAATAGGTTCCGATTCGGGCGGCAGTTCAGGCCCTTCCGGTTTGGGCTCAGTTTCAGACGTTTGTGAAACTGACTTCTCCTTCACTTTTTCCAAGTCTTTTGGCTTTTCGTCGCGTTTTTTAGATCTGCTTCGGGAACGCCTTCGAGAGTTCTTCTCTTTATCCCTTNCAGTTCAGGCCCTTCCGGTTTGGGCTCAGTTTCAGACGTTTGTGAAACTGACTTCTCCTTCACTTTTTCCAAGTCTTTTGGCTTTTCGTCGCGTTTTTTAGATCTGCTTCGGGAACGCCTTCGAGAGTTCTTCTCTTTATCCCTTTCCCTTTCCCTATCCCTGTCTCGATCTTTGTCTCGATCTTTGTCTCGATCTTTGTCTCGATCTTTGTCTCGATCTTTGTCTCGATCTTTGTCTCGCTCTTTGTCTCGTTCTCTTTCTCGGTCTCTATCTCTGTCTCTGTCTCTCTCACGCTCTCTCTCCCTCTCTCGGCTGCGACTCCTTCTACGCCTTTCCTCCCTCTCCCGACTCCTACTCCTTCGAGTTCTATGCCTTCGTTCTCGAGAGCGGCGCCTCTTTTCTCGCGAACGAGATCTCGAGCGCCGCCTTTCCCTAGACCTCGACCTACGAGTGCGAGAACGGGAACGACGTCTCGAGCGAGAAGTACTTCTTCTCCGAGATCTGGATCGCGAGCGAGACTTACTCTTCTCCTTTCCGGCGAATTCCAAGATTTTGTCGAATTTCATGGAAAATCCCGGTTCGATGGCCGCGGATATGAGTGACTGGGCCTCTCGGACCCGCTTCATCGCCTCTTCGATCTCTTTTTGTGCCGCTTCTGAACTCTTCGCCTGTGGCTTCACAATGGAATTGTTTGAATGATTTATTCTGTTTTAGGAATAGAAATAACACAACAATTAAACATCACATCCAAAGCGTGTCATTCAAAGGACTCACTTAAGTGGTCGACCGCCGAATATAACGCCATTGTATTGGAGAGCGTTTGCCACCGAAGACTGATCAGTGAACTCAACGAACGAGAAACGAGTCGGTTGTGTCTCATCGCCAGCCATCCGGATGTACTTCACTTCACCGATTTGGTTGAAGAATGTTAACAACTGTTCGGCCGATAACTGAATGCAAACAATAATTGTCAGCAATTGTTAACTATCTTCAGACATATGGCTTACCGTTGAGCACAGATTCCCGACGTAAACGGTTCGCCGAATTTCTTCAATTTTTGTCGGATCCATATTAGCCGGAAGGGGCGGGTATTGTGGTAAACCCAGTGCTGTTAGTCGTGGATCTATTGTAGTAATCACTTGGGCTCCACCAACACCTGTCACCTAATTATCAAAAAGTGTTTTATGACAACATCTGATCCAACAGTTGAAGGATTAGACAGCGTTTGACTCACTTGAGACACAACACCGCTATTACTGCCGCCGCCAAGAGATCCAACGCTTGTAAGGCTCAGAGCTGTGACCGCGTCCGGTATTTTGCCTGAAATGTGACACCAATTCAATCGATTCAATGTAATTATCACTGAATACATTGCACTCATAAACGGTGGCAGACATACCGTCCTCGACGGCCAGAACAATGAGCGCTCTGTCGACAAACACAGTGTTCGTGAGGTGTTGGGCGACGCCTACACTCCAACTGTCGGCGAACCGGATATAACAGACCCTCGAGGTGGCGGACAGCGGAGAGTCTCTGCAAGAAGAAGTCACGAAGAAGTCATTAATAAACGGCTAAAGTGTCGGACAATCGGTGACCGACTCATCCGGATAGACGACGATCTCTTTGATGGTTCCCAAGAAGGCGAACAAACTCTTCATCTGCTCATTGGTAGCACTCGGGGCTATGTTTGTCACTTGGATTACACACGTGTCCGACATGAAGACCATTGAAGATAATGCCGACAATCAATACAATGAGACAATCAGTGATTAATTCATAATTCAATTGTTTATTGTTTTTATGAAAACTTGAAAAAAGCATTTCTTTTGAGAAAACATCAAATACGACAAAAACTCATTGCAATTCAAATGTGTTTATAATTATAGTTATCAATAGATTGTTGAGATAATGGTGTCAACTGAATGTGGGATCAAATGCCTGTTATCTTCAGTCACTTTGATCCCCAGAAGTGATGGCAATGTCTGCGTGAGTGACAAACGGCGTGTTTGCGTCAATACATGTCGTATTGTATGTGAGACTCAGACACACGACTCAACCCATGAATCACTTTTGCAAATCACTTACCGTTTGATGAAATCGACACCAAATTGACACCAATTTGTCGCTCATTTGGTTATTAACACACATTTCCACCAATTGTTGCATTCAGTGAAGTCCTCAATCATGTCGTCTAAGAAGCGATTGGTTTACTCTATCATCCAGTTCTTGAGCGACGAACTCAAGAGCGACGGTCTTTCGCCGGACTCTAAAGAGTCGATCGAAGGTTTGATTGATTCATGTCTTTGAGTGTCATTTGTCTCATGCGATGATTGGTATATCAGTTGCTGTTCAATGTCTTGAGGCGGCCTTCGAAGTCAACACAATTGATGGCACCCTTCAGACCAACAAGAAGTTGTCGACTATATTTGAAGACTACCTTAAAGACAACCAAAGTGTAAGACATTAGTTGTTTTGACGGATGTGTTGTCATATGACTTGTGTTGCAGTCACCGGGAGTTCGACCACAGGTTGTGGTGACGGAAGAGCAGCGCAAAGAAGCGGAACGACTGAAGAATGAGGGCAACGAACTCATGAAGAGTGAACAGTTCGACAAAGCGCTCGATATGTACAGCCGGGCCATCGAGTTGGATGCCTGTAATGCTGTCTACTATTGCAACAGGTCTTAGATCTTAGTCTTAGTCTTAGTCTTAGTCTTAGTCTTAGTCTTAGTCTTAGTCTTAGTCTTTGGCTCACTCTTGTACTCAATGAATGTATGTTTGTATGCGAGAACAGGGCGGCCGCGCACTCCAAACTCAATGGTCATGAGTTGGCGTTAGAGGACTGCAAGCGTGCCATCAGTTATGATCCCAACTATAGTAAGGCATACGGGAGGATGGGTCTGGCGTTTGGTAACCTACACAGGTTGTGGTGACGGAAGAGCAGCGCAAAGAAGCGGAACGACTGAAGAATGAGGGCAACGAACTCATGAAGAGTGAACAGTTCGACAAAGCGCTCGATATGTACAGCCGGGCCATCGAGTTGGACGCCTGTAATGCTGTCTACTATTGCAACAGGTCTTAGATCTTAGTCTTAGTCTTTGGCTCACTCTTGTATGAAATGAATGTATGTCTGTATGCGAGGACAGGGCGGCCGCGCACTCCAAACTCAATGGTCATGAGTTGGCGTTAGAGGACTGCAAGCGTGCCATCAGTTATGATCCCAACTATAGTAAGGCATACGGGAGGATGGGTCTGGCGTTTGGTAACCTCAACGATCACTCCAAGTCTCGCGACTGCTATCGAAAGGCCGTAGAACTCGACCCAAACAACGATAGCTACAGAAATAACTTGAAAATAGCTGAGGAGAAAGTGGCAGAAGTAATGACTGGCCAAACCTCAACGATCACTCCAAGTCTCGCGACTGCTATCGAAAGGCCGTAGAACTCGACCCAAACAACGATAGCTACAGAAATAACTTGAAAATAGCTGAGGAGAAAGTGGCAGAAGTAATGACTGGCCGAACATGACTGGCCGGACATATGACTGGCCGGACATATGAATAGCTCTTTACTCACTAATAATGTGTTTGATCTCTGATTGACAGCAATCGTCACAATTTGGGAATCCCTTTGATTTGAGTTCATTGCTGTCGAACCCGGCGCTCATGAATATGGCCACA